CGCCCCCTGTGCTCCTTTACACCCTTCAAGCTGCAGCAATAGTCACCCTCTCCCTTTTCATCCCTGTGAAGTGATTCCCTACTTCCTAGGCTCCAGAAGGAAGATGAAAGCATCTTTGCGCCCCCTGTGCTCCTTTACACCCTTCAAGCTGCAGCAATAGTCACCCTCTCCCTTTTCATCCCTGTGAAGTGATTCCCTACTTGCAAGGCAAGGAGGTGGAAGAAGAGCAGGAGGGTGAAGAACTGATGCTCCTGGAGGAAGAAGCCCTCACAGACATCATACTGCACCTCCAGGGCCAAGGAAAGGTAGGAAAGTCCCCTAAGGGAACTGGCCCCCAGACCACCCTTGACTCCCAACATTCAGCCTTTACGGCAGTCATACCACATGAACCAAGGTCTCCCCAGTGGAGACACAGCCCACGGGCTCTGACACATCCACCTGTGTGCGCTGGTCTGACGGCCAGCCTCCCATCACAGAAGCTGCCTCTGCATCCCCACACTCTGCAGAGCCACCAAGCAGAGGGGAGAGGACACCCTGGAGCCGGAGACCTGCAAAGTGGTCCTGCTACAGAAGATCATGGTGAGCTTGGCTGTGCACTGGGCACTGTGGGGAGTGGGAAGGAGAAGAGACAGGGGCTCCCAAGGCCAGGAAGGCAGGGCGCACACAGGGGAGGGCAGACATGCCTGGGCCTTGACGAGGGAGCATGGGGAAGGGAAATTCTTGGCTAAAGCCATATAGGACACTGAGCGAATCCTGCATCTGAAGGGCAGCTGAGGTGAGATCAGGGTGTGAGCGGTTGGGCCCAGGGGTGTGTGAGAGAGGGATTTGGAAGGGGAGGGCTTGCTGCCGCCCCCGTTCGCCACCTGCTGCCTCCGCCACCGAGGTAAGGGGGCACGTGTGTGTGTGTGGCACACGTGCGCCCTGCTCCCTCTGCTCCTGATCTCCAACTGTCAATTCCATGCATTTCAATGGGGGCTTCCAGGCACCATGTCCACCCCATTCAAGCCTATGGGGACCCTGCTTTACTAATCCCACCCGCCTGTGGCCAGACCAGACTGATTGCATCTGCTCTCAGAAGCTAAGCAAGCCCGGGCCTGGTTAGTACCTGGATTGGAGACCACCTTGGAATACTGGGTGCCGTAGGCCACCTGCCCTTGCCTGGGCCCAGGCAGCGGGATCGGGCCCTGGACCGGCTGGCCGCCTGGCAAGCCTTGGGAGCACTGCTGCGTGGAGTTGATGGGGTCACCTGCAAGTCCACCTGCAAGCCTCTGCTTGCTGCTGCCCCTAGAGCCCACGGCAAGCCTCTGGGTGTAGTCTTCCCAGCCTAGTGGGGCTGCCCGAGGTGCCTGGAGACAGCACGGCTCTGCAGGTGCCAGCCCCCGGGCTCCAGGGGTAACTGCTAGCTACGGCGGGTGGAGTGAATGGAGCAGGCTCTGTGTCCACCTGCAAGCCTCTGCTTCCTGCTGCCCCCTAGAGCCTGTGGGAGGCCTCCAGGTGGTGTCTTCCCGACTTGGCCAGGCTGCCTAAAATGCCTGGGGGCAAGGGGAACCGGGGAAGGGGGGGTGGGTACTGTGACAGATGGAGGCTAAAGCCAGGGCTCGGGGGCACTTTTCCAAAGCTAAGGCGGGGGGGATCTTTTTGGAGGCTTAAGCCCCTGGTGGTTGTGCAGGTGCTTTGTCTGCACCCTCAGTACTTGATTGGGAGTGAAACCCCTGGTGGCAGGAATTCCGGACACCATGTCAACCCAATGCATTCCTAAGGGGACTTTCGGGCACCACGTCAACCCCATGCAAGCCTATGGGGACTTTCAGGCAGCAGGTCAACCCCATACATTGCAATGGGGACTTGCAGGCACCGTGTCACCCCCATGCATTCCAATGGGGGCTTCCAGGCACCATGTCCACCCCATTCAAGCCTATGGGGACCCCCACTATGCCAATCCTACACATGTACCGCCAGACTGTACTGATTGCATCCAATCTTGGAAGCTAAGTAGGTCCAGATCCGGTTAGTATCTGGATGGCAGACTGCCTGGGAATCCTGAGTGCCATAAGCTACCTGCCCTTTTGTGCTAGAGCAGGACAAAGCTGGCCCTGCCCTTGCGTGGGCCCAGGCAGCAGGATCGGGCTCCAGACCGGCCAGCCGCCCAGCAAGCCTTGGGAGCATTGCCGCGCTGAATTGATGGGGCTGCCTCCAAGTCCACCTGCAAGCCTCTGCTTGCTGCTGCCCCCTAGAGCCTGCGGCGAACCTCTGGGTAGTGTCTTCCTGGCCTGGCTGGGCTGCCTGAGGTGCCTGGGGGCAAGGAGAACCGGGGAAGTGTGGCGGGGGTGCCGTGACAGATGGATGCTGTCATCCTGCTTGCAGATCCGGGGGCCCACACCCCCCGGAAGGACTGGAACTGTGTCCCACACTTCCTGGGGGGCATGGGCCCCCGGAGCTGCATGCGGGATGACAGCAGGTTGCCATTGCCAGCTGGGACCGGTGCTCAGCGCAGCCCATGCCTAGTGCCGGGAAGAAGCGTTGTGTCGTGTCGTCCCCCCCCCGAGCACTGGGATTGGAAGGGACCTTGGGGATAGATTGCAGACACTGGCCAGCTACAGATGTCAAAACCAGAGCAGTCCTTCCCCCACTCTTCCCCCTCCCTTCTCTTAGTTTTTGTTTCCCTGCAAGCCCAGCTCCAAAACTCCAAAATTTTCCAAAACATCTCTGAAATGTTTTGGATGGTTTCGTTTAATTTTGGAGCCTTACATTTAATTTCAGATTCAGTGTTTTGGGTGCCAAAACGAGCCAAAACGCCTCCAAAACGAAACAGCTGCCGAAGTTTCACACAGCCCTAATGGCAATTTTCACTCAGGTTTCATGCAGAATAAATGTACAGTGATTTAGATCATGTGTGTCACTACAGAAGCAGAGGTAACAGTTAAGGTGTAACAGCAGATGCATACCTGCAAGCAGTGATTTCCCCTGCCCTTTTTGAAGTGATTAAAAGTTACCTCTGCCCATAGCCAGAGCCTGTGTTTTAAAAATCGTTTGCTAACATAATCACACACATTTCGTTTTTATGACATACCATCCTTCCCTGGAACCTATACAGAAAGTCCTCAAACAACTGCAACCCATGCTAGAAGAAGACCCAATTCTAAAAGAGATCTTTCCAGAACCACCCTCCCTTCCCTTTAAACAAGCACCAAACCTCACCAACCTCATCACCAGAAGCAAACTTCCTATGGCCCAAAGCACACCAAATGGATCCAGACCATGCTGGGACAAAAAAGGTAAATTCTGCCAATCTCCACCACTCCGACAATAACTACATCCTACAACAGAACCATCACCATTCCTGGATCTTACACCTGCATCTCCAGAAATGTAATATAGCTCATCCAATGCACTGAATGGCCTGATAGAAAGTATGTAGAAGCCAAACAACAACTGCACACCAGAACGAATGCACACCAAAAATCTATCAAAGACAAAAATACCCAATTACTATGGGTACACACTTCTCACAAGAGAACCACTCTCTTTTTCTCCAGTCTCTCAGTTCTAATCCTCAAATGGGAATTTACAAAACACCTTTTGTAGACAAGCCTACAAACTTCATTTCATAAATCTACTGGATACAAAAAAATTATAGACTAAATACAGACATTGGATTTCTGGTGCATTACAACCCGCCTGCCATCTGATAACCCCAGATAAACTCTCTACATTTTACTAGCAACATTCTATCACCAGGTCAACATTCCCCTCTTCCCCTCCAACCTACCTGTCTCACACCTATTGTCTCCCATTCCCTCTGATCTCCACTGCCATGTATTTGCATTTTTACAGACCTGCATTTTGCATATTGATTTCTATTCCACCCAGCACAAACACCAGCAGACTCTCCCTATACCTGAAGAAGGATGCTTGTGCCCAAAAGCTTGCAAACAACAATTTTTCCAACTATTCAGTTGGTCTAATAAAAGATACCACATTTACCCAAAGAACCCTGTCTGCTTTTGTTAACAAGGGAATTTAGAAAGATTGCTTTGGGTTTTCCCCCCAAGCTTGCACATGCCACAAGGTATTCCCTGATCCAAAAGGAACAAGAACTTGGCATAGAACTTTAAAAGAAGGAAGAACTGCACTGCAGAAACAAGAAGTGGTTGCCTGGACCTACAGTTGCTTGGCATTCTACCGTATAGAGATGGATGGTAGGTGCTGAAGATGTAACTGATCAGATGCATCAGCTTCTTCCTGTATACGGTCTAAACACATTTAAATTCCAACCCACAAACCTACTGTGTTACTTTAAGGCTAGTTTAAAAAAAGTGTATCTATTGAAGGCACACCATTTTTTCTTACGCATCCATGGGATGCAATGTTACATTCATCAGTAGCAGAAAATAAGTAGCTAGAGGTGGAACATCCTCTAGTCCAAGAAAGACACAAGTACTGACTTTAGGGAACTGACTAGTTCCTGGCTGCCCAGAAGCTGAGTATGGGTTACTTTCTATTGCTTCCATACAGCCAATTAGGCATGCTGTGGTTGAGAACTCAGCCTTTACCTAGCCCACAAACTGAGAGCTACCACAAATGCAGCCTCTCCCTGCAGCAGTGGCATACAACAGCATTGTACTAAAGCACATAGTAGCAATTAGTAACTAAATATGAAAGACAGCCCCAGAAACTCAGATCTGGATTTCAAGTAGCACACGTTATCAGGCTGTAGTTCCAAGGGCTGGGTTTAAAATATCACCCTCACCTCAGCTCAGACCTGAGAAAGGGTACAGTAGTACCCAAAAGCTTGTCCTTATCCCTCCCAACTCTATAGCTGATCCAATAAGAGTTACCACCCACAAAAATCTTTGACTTCACCTCAGGCTTTTTACATTCTCTCTGAGTTAGTTGCTTTGCTCACAAAATACACCATCGGCTATAGAACAAAACCTGTGAGGTGTGTCATTATCAACTACATAACAGCGCACATCCCCGCAACTGAGCACAAGTATGGGGAAAGTCTGCCCATTCTGTTTTAATGGAAAAGATTGGTACCATAACTATAAAATATATAAATTGCATAAATAGGTTGCATTAAGAAAAATATTACAGAATTATACAACTGTCTCAAATGACTTACACAAATATCCCAGCTGCATTTTACAATTCTAACCCTTTCTCCATAGCTGGTCCTATTCTTTAATCTCCACAATAGCATTTCCTACCTGCCAGTTTCATTACAAAGCTATCTGTTCTGATTACTGAATTCTACAGTGGACTGGCAGACTGAACTGTTTTTCAGCATTGCTCCATTACACATTGCTATACATCATATCGCCCCTGTGCTTTTCCCTTCCAGCATCTAGGTAATTATTTTGGGAACAGCCTAGGAGGAAGAACTACAATGTCTCTGTCCCTTGGTCAAGAATCATCTTTGTCTAAAAGTATGAGCTCCATGCTTCTTCTCTCAACAAGACGCAGTTCCAACACGCATTATCCTGAAGAGCATGTTTAGGTTGTTGTTCCTAATTGCATCCCGACATGCTGTGATCACCTGTGTCTTGGGTTTGCCAACTGGAAAGAGAGCAAAAGAGAGAGAAAATATCAGCCCAAAACTGAAGCTAGAAGCCAGTAAAGGGATCTTACCAGTCACATCTGATCACTGAAAATTTAGGTTCTCATAATACATTTTTTAAAACTTGGTAATTCTTCTTTACTTTTTTAATTGCAAGGGGAAAAGGTTTTCTTTCTTGTATTACACAGATGCCTACAGGTCCATACCTAGCTGGCATATCACTGTGATGAGCCGGGTCCATCCAAAAATAAAGACAGCCACTTTCCCAGACAGCTAAACAAGAAATTCTCCTCAAACAGTTTGCAAAATGCTAAGGCATAGAAGTACAAGTGAATCTAACTAGTATTATTCAAAAGGAAGAAAAGTAAAACAGGGTAAAAGAATATTTACAGCAATTTCAATAATTTTTAGATTTATTGTAGTTTGGGTAAATTTGCAGAGTCTGACTTAATATGATAGTGTCTCCTTTAAACTTAAAACTTAAAAGTGAAAAATTCAATTTAGCTTTAAAATGACACTAACAATTGTGTCTAATTATAGTAGTAATGTTTACACTCAAAAAGCTTAAAACTAACTTTTCTCCTTAACACTACCAAAAGCTGCATTTGGGTCCTGATCCCAAGTTTCACTAAGCACTCATAACAAACTAACTTTCATGGGAATTTACAATTCTCAGTAACTCAGCACTGGGTCCTTAGCAAGTAATTAATGCAAAAGAAATACCAAGAGACCATACCTGGTGCTTCTTCCAACCTAATAAGTAGAAAAACAAATTGGGTTTGACAATGAACCTCTGTCCTCAGCCCAGCAACTTCCTTGCATGCTCTACATTTTCAGTGTGCACTATAAAATTTGAGTTTGTTTGTGTCAATACTGGCAGAGCTTATGACTTTCCAAGGAGAGACAGCTAAATAATAAATTATAGGGCTTGGAAAGTATTCTAGTATAAGAAGCATGGCAGTTTTTTCACACATATGTATATATGTTAGATTTAATATGTTTTCTGTACTTCAGATTTATGAAACACAGCCTGGCAAATTTTCCTGGGCATTAAAAACACACCTTACCCTTACCAATTGCTGTGCGTAAGCTGATCTCTGTGCCAATGCAGAGGTTTGCCTATTCAGAGCAGTTTGCAGGATTAGGGCCAAAATCTACACTACAGTTGAACAGCAGTTTTGGGATCCTTTGAGATTAGGGAATACAGCAGCTCAGAGATACTTTTAAAGCAAAATACAAATGGAAAGTAACACTGCAGTCTAAACAGAAAACCTGTATTCCTCTGCACCAGAAAAACAAGTAAGGAAATTTCCACTATTTTGTTCTTGGATCAAACTCAACTAAATTAATCTGGTCTTTCAATAAAGCTCCAACTATTATGTTTGCTCTTAGATGCATCATTCTTTACCCTTGCCTACTGGTAGGACCAAAACCAATGAATCCCTAGACTTACCACACCTGACCCACACTTACCACGCAGCCGCCCAGCCCTCTGGATTGCTTGATTTACAGCTTTGAGATTATTTAACAGCTCGGTGTGATTGGTGCAGCGAATTTTATATCCATTTATTAAGTCTCTGTTCAGATCGTAGAGTTCTACATACCGTTTCTTCATGTTTTTCCTGGGGGAGCAAACACGAGGGTTATGTGAAACACCGGGGACAAGAAAACCAAGACATTTCTTGTTTTGCTAAGGTCAAAGTGGCAACAATATTTAGTTCTTGTAGTGACTGAGCTACTTGTCTTCTCAAGCGCTTGAAGCTACAAGGCTACACAGAGTCACACAGGTACCCAGTACAACCACATCTCACCATGACAGTTATTATTCATTACTTACACCCAGAAACTAAGTATTTCAAAACAGATGCCCTATTTTCATTCTCTTTTTCATGCCTCCCATTAGCTTCTTGCTCTGATACTTAATTAGTGACCGGCAGCTCTGAGAAAAGGAATTCCTTTCTTTAGAAGAGTAAGTCTGGATGATCAGTAGTTGCAGTGGATCTCTAGGCTTCTTGCAAGAGTGAGGATGTACATTAGTCACTGGCTTCAGGAGGAAAAAGCTGTTAAGGGGAGTAACATTCTCTAAAGTCACAGAAGAAGCATCCTCTTCTTCCCACCTCAACCAGCTTCTGCTCCCTTCTGGCCAGAATGGACTTGTTCTAACCTAACTGAGAACTTGACCATTCCCTCATAGCCAGCTAATTCACACTGCCAGTCTCAAACTGAATCATTGCTACAGTTTCCATCTCCCCCTTTTCCTACCCATTTGGTTCTTAACCTAAAAGAACAGGTTAAGAATCCAGGAGGATCCAGAAGGGGCAGATCAAAAGGAGGACAGCCGAGACAATTCTAGTTAACCACAATGATCAGGTATGACTAATATGTACCCACTCCACACTTATACCATGCTACCATTTCTATATGGCAGAGCAAGACAACAGCTGCTCACATGTCTCCCATGAGACGTGCATCTTCTGCTCGGACCAGCATGCTCCGGATGAGGTTGGAATGATCGGCCATGTCGGCAGTGAGTTTCTGATGTACTGTATGATGCTCATCCACCTATCAAGAATGAACATTCATGAATTAAGCATCGCCCACCTCCACCACAGGCATTTAATGAAGACCTAAGACACTGGAGTTGAACTCTAAGGCATACACTGCCCTCACTTCCTATCCCTCCCCTGGGGTACCTTTGCTAGTGCAGCAATAACTTCTCCCCTGGCAAGACGTGGGATAGCTACTATTCTCCCACTGTTTATTAACCTTTCTTATTCACATAAGGGCCTGATCCTAACCCATTGATTTTGATGAGCTTTGAATCTCATATGTAATAGCTGAAACAATAAGGGAATTTTCAAAATAACAAACCACTAAGCAAGAGAAGATCCCATTTTGGAAACTGCCATTCTTACATACAGCAAGCCACAGCCTTAGTTTTAAATGACAGAAGACTGCAAAAGGTTTAGATGCCAAGCAATGCACACCACTCACTTCCTACCTGTGACTTGTCTCCAACCAAAAATCACTATTTGGAAACACTTGTTAGAAGCTGACCTTAATTAGCACTTTCCGCAGCTCCTCAAAGTATGCAGGAAAATCTGCTTCCACCTGCAAGTCTTCGATTGCCAAGAAGGAGGCCATTGACTGGATAATGTTGCCAGCTAGATCAATGTCATCAGTGCTGACAGAAATCTAACAGGCAAGAGTAAAATACGTTTCAGACTTCCTCACCACCAAAATCTCTCTTCCCATGACTGTTAAGTAGGATTCATGTTACAGAGTATTCAACCAATCCTCAAATACTATCAACAGGCAAGATTTTCACTGGGAGGTCTATTACTCCAATAATATACATTGTTAGAATTAAACACTATGGACAAGATCCAGAGCCTAGTGTAATACAGGGGACGCCTTCCTGTTTGGAGGGAGCTCAGACCTCACTGTGCAGAGACATGTACTGCTAACCTGCACCCTGTACCTTCCTGTTAGGGCTATGTCCACATCAAATTTGTGCTACCCCTCTGCACAGTGGTGAATTCAACCCCAAAAGAATACATTGCTTCAGAAAGCTGAAAGGACAATGTACTGTATCGTCCATTACACTGACTGGGCTTGGAATTTTACTTCCGGATAGTAAAACAGGCATCACGTGCCCAGAAAAGAGAACTGAAGATACTCTGGACAATGCCCCACCTAAAATGTTAGCACTTCCACTCCCCACTGCCATTGCCCAGGAGCCACGTGCAATGCCACATGCCTTCCGTGCACTGGCTGCAGTTATGCCTTGTCCCCTGCCCATCCGGTAGTGGCACATGGAACAGTAAGGCTCTGAGGCTGTGGCAATAATTCTCAGCTGAAAAGAATAAGCACAAAAAAAGAGCCCAGGAAATGCAAACAGCTTGCTTCCTCCTATTCCTGCTCTAAAGAAGACTGAGGAGGGGATTTGATAACACTCCTCAAATAGATGAAAGGAGATTACAAAGAGGGTGGACATAGCCTTTTCTCTGTGGTGGCAAGAGAAAGGACTAGGAACAATGGACTCAAGCTGCAGCAAAGGAAATTTAGTTTCAAAATTAGGAAGAATTTTCTGACTATGAGGGTGATCAAGCATTGGAACAGGCTGCCTTGATAAGTTGCAGACTCTTCATCCCTGGGAATTTGCCAGACCAGATAGACAGACACTTGGCTGGGAAGGTTTAGTCAGGAATGATCCGCCCCTGAGCAGGGAGCTGGACTAGATCTTGTGAGATCCTTTCCAGCCCTACTTTCCTAAATTACAATGATCCCCTCCCTCCTCCACTTTGTACCATGGCTGCATGTTTACTTTCACATCTGGATAGGAACTAAGCCCAGTAGAACAAGGGTAAAAAAGTTACCTCCCCACTGGGTTTCATTTTTATGCACAGTTGCCCAGCATCGCGCAGGAAAGTGAAACAGACTTGAAAGGGTGCACTTTGAAACTCAGCATCTTCTGGCAACAGAAAGCTCTGATTCAGCCACATAACAACCTTCAAAAAAAATTCACATCACCCTTTACTCCCAGAAATGTCTGGAATGTATTTGTGATACAACAAACACATACAAGGACTGCAGAGCACTTAGCTTACTGTATCCTGGAATCATATGCAAGATTGATTTTACTCCATATAATTAAATTGGTTTTTATTATAATACAGAGCACAACCACAGGTGGAGGGAGAAAATATTGGGGGGGGGGGTGTAAAACTTAAACTTAAAAAATACTTCTACACACATGGACGGACGGACGGACGGACAGACAGACAGACACTGCCCAGCAGGTTAGTCTGTGAAGGGGAAGGGGTGTGGGGGAGGGAAGGGGCAGATTGAGGCCCCCGCGGTGAGGGAGGAAGTGGAACAGGGCAGGGGCAAATGGGGTCCCAAGGCCGGGGCAGGTCACGGGACAGAGCCACAGGCAGCTCCAGGGGCTCCCAGTGCTGCACATACCCTGGGAGAGACACAGGGGGCATGTGCCCCCCAGATTTGTGTGTGGGGTTTTGCCAAGCAGGGCTGCCGAGGAGGGCTGGGCTCTGCACCCCATTGCCATCGCCCAGGAGCCACGTGCAATGCCACATGCCTTCCACACACCGGCTGCGCCTATGCCTTGTTCCCTGCCCATCCGGTAGCGGCAGGCACATGGCATCACACGTGGCTTCTCGGGGCCTCATTTGCCCCAGCCCCTACCCCACTCCCTCCCTCACCACGTGGGCCTCAATCTGGTCCCCTCATGCCCCTTCCCTCCCTCACACCCTTTCCCCTTCAGACTTATCTGTTGGGCGCTACACTCCTGGCTACGTGTCTGTCTGTGCACACCCCTCCCCCTCTGCTGCAGCTGCCTGGAGCCTGCAGCTGGGCTGCCCGGTGGTCCTCTACACTGCCACTGCTGCCCTGCATTTGCGGGGGCTAAGCCCCGTTAGCCCTGGCCTTCCACTGCCTATGAGCACAACTAAAATCTGACTCCAATTTTAACAACCCACAGTGAGCTTTCCAGGACTCTGGACATTACTGGGTAAGCACAGAATTAATTAATGACTCTTTTGCCCCATGAAAAGTGAACAGGTTGCTGCTTTATAAGCTGTCAATTAAATGCACTATTTTTTTTAGATCAAGAATGAGGAAAATCAAGAAGCTAACAAAGGAAGGACGATCTAGTGATTAGGGCACTACCTGGGGCCTTGGGAGGGTTCAAGGTTCAAGTCCCACCACTGATACAGACTCCCCTGCCCCATCTGGTCTTGGACAATTTAATTAGCCCCTCTGTGTCTCCACACCTGCAAAATGAGGATAACAGCACTTCTGTGTCTCTTAGGAGTGTTCAGAGGATAAAATATTCAGATTATGAGATGTCCCCTACTATGATAACCAGAGACAGAGAAATGTCCAAGAGAGACAGAACTCAGAGGGGTAAGGCTAACTAAGTTTCTTGCGAAAGGTCACACACACACCTGATCATTCTGTCTTCAAGAAACCAAGCAATGTGTTACTTTTTGCCTGGATGTTTCTATGCAATGAAAGTTACTTGGGTGTGGTAGCTCTTCAGTAATTAACAGATGTGGACCAGCAGCTCTTGATACAGGCTGCAATAAATTGCTGTCCCAGGACTTCAGACTTCATACATTAACTGCAGAACATTTACAGATCCTTATGAATCTGAATGATGCTGGCGCAGTGGAGAAGACATATCTTGACACTCGGTTGTGTTTTTCCCTTGTCTGCTAATTTACAAAATTTACTCATCTGTTATGGGGTTCCTGTTATGCAAGCAAGGAAGGAAGGTTTTATGTGATAAACAGTGAATGAATCGGTAATTGTAAAAACTCTTTATGATCTTAAGCAGTAATTTCCTGCAGCTAGAGGGAAACTCTGGGAGAGATTCTACTGTGCCTGCACTGAAAAGAAAAACCAGCAGCATGAACTCAAGCTGTAAATGATTCCTGTTAAACACCAACTCTTACTGACACCCTTTGCTTTAGGGACTCCTAAGTTAATTGCAAATGCTTCACCTGATACAAAAGCCAAAACTGTGCTCAGAACCAGAAAATTAGATGCAGGGCATGAAACTCACCCTTTGCACTCTCTCGCTGATTGTAAAGTTAACAAAGCTTAGAGGTTGAGGGGCTGAGTCAGGGCTGCTCAAAGCATACATTGAAAAGCGTGGTAGCTGTCGTGTCAGCTCAAATACATGGAACTGTGTGCTAAAAGGAACCCAGAGGGAAAAAAAGAGAAATTTACTGGTGTGCCAGGGACTCACTCAACTACATCCTTCTATTAAAGTAAAAATAATTAATTTGGCATCACACAGCCTCTGTCACCACAGTCCCTGCAACAAACACAAAATTCATTAGGACCCTACATTGAAGATTTCAAACACATAGCTGGAGACATCTTATTAAGAACTACAATTAAGATGTATTATGAATAACATTTCAGATGACAGGAAAGGTTTATATCCTGGCAAGAACCGAATTCAGTTCTCTACATTTCTTCTGCAATGGCTTCTTACACTTCTTACAAAAGGATACTACTACCTAGATCAGGGTAAACTGATCTTGACATACAAGTGAACAGAAGGAATGACTTTCTAACATATGTTAAGAGACATTTTATTTAGACAATGACTTGTTCAAATTCTGCCTTCAAATACTCGCACAGGACTTCCTTCCTCAAAGTAGCTGAGAACACTCAGGCTCTCAGAGGATACATCCCATGCTCCTTCTGAGCACACCTGCCCTTGACTTTAAATAAAGCAAACTTAAGGCTTCAAGGATGTAAGAACACCATTTCTGAAGATGCTGAGCTTTGGCTGTTTTTGTTTGTTTGTTTGTGTTTGTTTTACAAAGAACATTTCATTTCTCTTGGAGGTAAAGGAGCTACTGTACTGACAGACCAGCTACCAGACAAGTCTGTCAAGAGAGATCAAAGTGACATCACTGCTGTGTTTCTCACCAAATGCTGCTTGCAATGGGAACTGATGTTTGACTACACCATATAAGCTGCCATAAACCTCACCTGCTTCTGTAACCCACAAAGGCTTTGATGTGTAAATCCACTGGGACATCTTTGGGAGGAGTAAGGGGAACCCGAATGTGACCTAAAAGGTTCTGGAGGTTGGGATGAACAACGTGGCTCTCGCCTTCGAATATCCCTTCAGCAAAGATCAGCACGGCTCGGATGATCGTGTCTTAGGAAAGGGGAGAAAGTAGTTTATTGGTTAATAACTCTTCTGTGGCAACAAACCACTACTACATTCAAAACCAAATGAACGAGGGATTTTGGATGGGGGAAAGAACATAGAAAACAATGCACTATAAACATTGAGCCACTACACCAAGGGCCAGATTTAATAGTCTCAGGCTGGAGACTTAATTCATTGTTCTCTAGTAAGGTTTGCTTTGTAAATCATTAAAACTAGTTTATTGCCCTTTCTGTTCATTCCTCTGGAAGGAGGAACAAATAGTTAGGTGCTACAGGAATGAAAACTTTGAGAGATGCCACATCTGTTGATTCAAAACTCTGCAAAGGGAAAAGTGCCCAGACAGAAGAAACTGAAAATGGAAGACTAGTGAAGGGACAGGCAAATCAGGAGTTAAATATAACAAAACATTTATGTGAAGTTCCAAGAACCAGTTGTAAATCCTCTCTCACCATTTGATGTGGAGATACACAACTCAACATGAGCAGACTGACTGTCACCACCCAGGTTAACGGAAAAAGCTGTCTGGAGCTGCGTATTGGCTGGAATCACTCCCCTCTGCGCGTCAGCTTCATTGACCTGAGTGCTCAGCTCAATCTGCTGCAATGTACACAAGCAGCTCTAGATCAGCCTTGCAAAAGTAACATTTTTTTCACTCAAGCAGCTTAGAAATATCTCCAAAAACCACCTTCCTCCTCCAAGGAGAGGGAATTATTACAGCACCTTTCATACATTTTAGAAGTGGTGTAAAGAATGGTTTATTTAAGCTTACTCTCAAACTCTTGAAACCCAGGCACACAGCCCTTATATAGTGTCTGTTTGCCACTGCAAGCTCTGTATATAGACCTCATTTAAAAAAACAAACAAACAAAAAAGAACACTTCAGCATGTGCTCAACACCTGAGCACATACCACGGGACTGAAGCACATGTTTAAGTGCACTGCTGGATCCAGGTATTAATCAGTACAGTTACCCTATGAATCTACTCTTCCTCTGGACTATTTTGAAAACTCTGCATGGCGCTCTCTCCCTACTTCCTCCATGTCAAGCTAGAGCAGGGGCAGGCAATTATTTCAGGCGGAGGGCCCCTTAACCAGTTTTGGCAGGCTGTCGAGGGCCACATGGGTAGCCCCACCCCTTGACAGATGCCCCGCCCCCTGGTCACCATCGTGGGACCAATGTCCCAAGACATTGGGACATTGGTCCCATGTCCCAGGGCCAGCACAGGTGGGGTCCAAAGTGGGACACAGGCTGGCAGGGGTCTGTGGAGCCGGGCTGGGCTGCACCAGCAGGGAGAGTGGGGAGCTGGCCCGGCTCCGTAGAGCTCCTACCACTCTGCTCTGGGCCCCACTGGCACTGGCCCTGGGACACCAGTGCAGGCCCCATGCTCCCACTAGCTCCCCACCCACTCACCCTCAGTGCCCCCCAGCCCCGTGGTACAGGCAGGGGGTAGCGCAAAGCCCCGACCCCCAGCTAGCTGGGAGGGAAGAAGCTGGTGCTGTGTGCGGGGAAAAGCGGCCCCTCGCCCACCCCATGGCCAGTGCTCCCTGCTGCAGTCGCTCACAGCCCACACAGGGCTGTCCTGAGCTAGCGCAGGCAGCCCCACATGGGCTGCAGGCAGCTACAGTGCGGGGCGTTGGCCACGGGGCAAGTGAGGGGCCACTTTTCCCTGCACTCAGCACCAGCTTGTAACCTGGCCCTGCTGCCAGCCCGGGCTTCGCGGCGGCTCTGGGCTCGCCTGTCGGGGCTGCGTGGTGGCAGCACCTGCGGCCCCCCCCGCGTGTCACACTGGGCAGTGTTGGCTGCTGCTGCCAGCCCAGAGCTTGCACACTGGGCAGCCCCGAGGCGGGGGGGGGCAACACCGGCCCACGGCA